CTATAGTTAAAGCTTAGTAAGCTATAGTTAGGCCTAAGTTGTCTTGGATATTAAGTAGATCCCTGATAAAAGATTATGAGAAATTTGTTTTCATTTTGACTATATAATGGTGACGTGATGATGATGAATTTTACTATATAAAAGTGTCATTTTCGGCCATCTAGAATATTTCCTCAAATTTGCGCACCTCAGCCCCAACCATGGTGGAGCTGAGGTGGTTGTGAAATCACGGCTTTGAAGTATATAAAGTACATACTCAAAAACCATGTTTATAAGCTTTATTTTCTATGGTACATCACACATATTAATAAGATCTCTATGGTTGCCGAAAATCGCTGATAAAAGATCATGAGAAATATGTTGGCGCTTCATTTTGAGTATAGAAATCAATGCCGTGGCCAGCTATTGGGACAGTTGGACAGCTCCACACAATTTTTCTATTGGGTCCACAAAGGATGGGTCTACATTTTCAAAAATAGGTATAAATTATTCTGTTTTAGTACAAAATGAGTCCTGTTTTTGAAAAATGGGTCCAGATTTCTCATATTTTTGCGTATAATGGGTCCACATTATTTGAATTTACGCGTAAAGTGGGTTCACAATGATATTGTTCCGCACTATTTGACTCAATCCTGGCTACAGCGTTGTATATAACAGTGATGTGATGATGATGAATTTTACAAAAAATGTCATTTTCTGGTCATCTAGAGGTAACATTTCCTCAAATTTTCGCGCCTCAGACCCAACCATGGTGGGTCTGAGGTGGGTGTCGGCTCACGAAATGTCCCCACCTCCACCTTTCGAAACAGATAGCGCCCTTCCTTGGTATGACATTAAACTCTATCGAGTCGACACCTGACTCAGAGTATGTCTTAGTGACCGCTGATGAGGTGGGAGTGCATAAATTTGTTTAGGATGTGATCTGATTTTACATGCACATTTTTCGTGAATATGACTATTTTGGATAAAGAATGTTTTGAGCAGTGGTGGATTGAAGGCCCCCTCCCCTATTTATTTTAAATGGGAAAAAAATATTGCCCCCGCCCCTATTTAAATTTAAGTCTGAGAGTGTAATTTCCGGCTATCTAGAGGTGCCTTAATCATTAATTTTCTTACCTCAGCCTCAACTATGGTGGGGCTGAGGTGGGTGGTTCCTCAATATGTAAAAATCTCTGTTGAATTCCTGGATCCACCACTGTTGAGTTTTATATAATTAATGTTAGGCTTACTAATATTATTTATAATGCGTTTATTGCAACTTTCACTTTATCATCTCAGAACAGCCCTAAAAACTTTCAGAGCACTACTTTCCAGGGGTCTTTTCCCCTGGAAACCCCCCACCCACGGGGTCCTACGTACTTCGCATAACGGCTCCCCCTTTCAAAATCCTGGCCACGTCCCAGCATCAGGATTCCGTGGTTTAGTGGTAGGTAAGCCGAAGCGCATGGAAAGTGCGAGAGTTATCTTGACTTTCATCTACGAACACGATTCCTGTGGGGATTACTCGATATAATGAAACTCAGAGACACTGGTTTGATTTGCCAAAATCGAAGGAATTAGATATACTAATTCAGTACCGGTATATGTTTATTTGGAGGATCAGACTTAAAGCCTTCCTGGCTTATTGTTTCCTCCACACACAATGGATATTCACTGTATCCAGGGAGCCGCGGCTCCCCCCCCCCCCATTTGTACACTGTTAAAATTTTAAAGCTTATCATAGGCGTAGATCCCAGGGGGATGGGGATATATCCCCCAAATATTTGACAGGGGGGATGGTCCATTGTATCATCCCCCCCCCAATATTTTGACTATGTATGGGATAAAATGGAGCTTTACACACTTCAAAAGACTGTCACAGAAATAATTTGCACTGTCTTATGCGCTTACAAAGATGAAAATTAGCATAATGTATTAATGTTAATAACAACATTATTTTATATGGTACCAATCTAAGCTCTTCTTTCCTTAGACGTTAGGTGTGCTTGCAAAGAGAGCCACATTTCACACTGAAGGGTGTGTACGACATCAGTAATTTTATGTCAATTCCAAGAATGTTTAAGGTTATATCGGTTGATGAGGGATTTATTGATTAGGCCTATAATAGCAAATTGCATCAATTTATTTTGCAAAAACAAGGTTTCCAGCTTCAGAGGAGACAGGTCACAGGGGCACATCCCCTGTCCGCACAAGGGCACACATTGGCGCTAACACCAGGCCGCGTAACAGGGGTCTTGGGTCAGAGTGGGTATTTATTTTCCCGGTTAGTAATTTACCATACCCACCCCACCCCACTCCCCATATAGAAAACAATACGACATAGGGCTTATCTTATTTACAATATAGGCCACTAAACTAAATATAAGCATTTTCATCATTTCATCATTTATTACAAACATATTCTTTAACCATCAATACACATTGAGGCCCTTGTTTTAGGTTAAAACGATCTATCTTAAATTTGTCTTTCTTGAGTTTGGGACTATTATGTGTTTAAATAACTTAAAAGGATAAACCTAAAAAAGCCCTAACAAATGCGCGTGAAGCGCGCAAACTATTTTCGTGTTTTTAATACTAATTTCGTCGGAATTGATGAAAACTCCCTAAAATGTGCAATTTATAGAGGAAATTGGTCTACCGTAACAAGAAATGCGTGCAAAGAATTTGAGAATTTTAGGCACTTTCAGAGGATGTAGGTATTTGTCAAGTGGTGGGGAAAGATTTTCGAAAGTTGGATATTTTCCCCTTGTGTCCCGGTGTTTTTAATTCTTATTTCGTTGGAATTGATCCAAACTCCCTAAAATGTGCAAGTTTTAGAGGAAATTGGCCCGTGTTGTCAAGAAATGCGAAATTTGAGGTTTTTAGGCACTTTCAGGGGATCAAAAGGGTATTTATAAAGGGGTAGGGAAGATTTTTCAAAGATAGATATTTTCCCCTTGTTCCCCAGTGGTTACGCCATCGGGCAGCATAGATCAAAGGAGTTATAACAGTTTTTGAAGTGGAGAAGGGATTGCAGGGTGTTGTGAGTATGGTCATTATGATATCTTCCTTTTTATTCTTGTCTT